CAGATAACAATTTGGCGAGTACGAATACGGAAACGACGTTGATGGTGAATAGACTACCATACGTGGATATCTTTGGTCAAATTGTGGATTGTGTGTCTCTAATGCAGATGCTCCTGTTGCCTCTGCGTATGAAGGTGGCGCAGCATTGTTTATTGTATAAATATTTGATTTATTCTGCATGTTTATATTGCGTTACGGCTTCGTAGCAATTGTCGCAAAATCTGAAAGAGAAAGGAAGAAGAATTAAACAAGATGTATAATTTTTCTTAAAGAAAAAAATTGTTAGAAACGTAATGAAATATCTCGAAAATAAGACATTTGGAGAAAAATATTATACTAAAGTTGTAGAGCTTCAACAAATGCATCCAAGAATAACACCCGTTTAACCATAAGTGTAAGTATAAAAGGATAGAGCTCCGAAAAGATGAACCCCCCGATTTTCTTGTCGCTTGACATACTATTGTATTTTGATGCCCTGATTACGAATATGATAATGAAAATTACCAACAAGGTCATTTTCAAGGTATTTAAAAAACGATTTTTTAAATATTTTTTGCGTGTTTTACGTGCACAGGAAGAGAGGGAGATGGGGTCTCCGTCAGAGTCGCTTCGCGTGAAAAATAAAGAAATTGTACGTCCTATCTATCTTTCAGCACGACAACACGTACTGATAAGCATGCATGCTGAGTAGTGACGCTTAGCCAGCAAATAACCGTCAAAATGACTTTGTAATTTTCATTATCATATTTGTAATCAGTACACCAAAATACAGTAGTATACCAATCGACAAGAAAATCGGAGGATTCACTCTTTCGGAACTCCACCCGTATAAAGAATCTCACAAAGTTAACTTTAAATTTTTTTTATGAAAACTTCCACTTCTTATTTAATATTCTTGTAGCTGACATCAAGATTTTTTCGAAATACTTTAACAAAATTCCTTCTGATTGTGTGACAACTTCTTTTCGAGATGTGCGTTGACAACGTATCACCTGCATTAGCATTATCCAAGGTGTCCTATCTTCGGGCTCAATAAATCTTGTGAGAATGCTATTTAGAGTTTTGACCTTGACAACATATTTTAAGATCAAGACCATTGAAGGTTATTCTGCTTATCTTTATAAAAAATCTTTTATGACTTATTCATCTCATTCATTATTATCAAGAATTTTATTTTATTTGCATTCTCATTAAATATAAAATTATCGTTGAAAACTGTGATAATTTCTGCCTTGCAACTTTTATTAAAGACAAGGATATATTTAACACGATTATAACAAAAAATATACCTAGAGTATTTTATGTAATAATGATGTATGTATTTTAATAAATTCAACATTTTTTATTATATCTCCTCCGTGCAGATATTCTGAAATTCACGTCATTTATAGATATAGATCTGTAGATTTGCGTAAAAATATAAATTATATAAGAAGGTATTAAACTATTTTTAGGTAATACTTTTATCTCTTCCTGTTTATTGTCGGCCGGAAGCAATTCTTATAACGAATTACACGTGCCTCGAGTCTATGATGTGGACATAAAGAACATTGTTGGCATAAAAATGAATGTTGCATTAACGATTCACAAAAAGAATTATTCAAGCTTATTATAATGTATAAATGTATGCTTTTTTATGGTTTTTTTATAGCTTTTTTATAGCTTTCTTTTTACTCTTCATTTTTCAAAAACATACATGACAAGAATATCGTATTTTCGATACTAATCTACAATAAATTTTTATCGACAACATAAGTTCTATTTTTAATAAGAGACATTTATAAATTAAAGCTAATTTTTAATTAAATTAGAATTAAGTCTTTTTATAATAAGATAAAAATTTAGTATATAGATAAAAGTTTAATACATAAATGACATTTGATTAGAATGTCAAAATATAAATCTTTAATTTTGTCATTTATTTTCTAATAATATAAGGTTTAAATGATATTCTAGAGTATTATATTGTAATATCTCAGTTACTTTTTATAAATTTTTTATCTACTTTTTAAATTATTTTATCTACTTTATTTATATTTATTTCAGATTTCATATTTTTTTGTCTTGATTATTTTTTTGTGTCAACTATTTCCGAGATATCTCATATATATTATTCTATTGTGACAAATAGGTAAAGAATGACTTGCAAAATTAAGGAAAATTCTGTAACTATACCTGGTATATTGTTGACTTCTTTGTGACGACGATGTCGTCAATGATGCTTTCTAATGGTAATTGTAGTCTGCAGTCAGATATATTTATATCGCGTATGTGTTTATAAAACTATGTTGATTACTACAAAAATGCTTTAAAGTTAAATTATGATTTTTTAACTGGAATTTAACTACGATTCTCTTGTCTGGATAAAAGTTAAATGCTTGCGTAAGCTTGATATTATAATAATGTGATTACATATCAACGTTTTAAAGATAACATTTTGTTAGAGATTTCATAATAAGTGTAGCCAAAAAGCAGATAAAAAATGATAAATAGAAAAAGATAACCTATATATACGCATGCGCAAAAAAAAAAATGTGTTGATGATATTATTGACAATCATTTATAATATCTTATAGTTGTCTTTCTCGTTTCCTCTTTCTCTCATTTCCGTAAATGTATAATGCAAGATTATCTGAAGCACACTGAATTACACATGAAGGACTAATCAAAAGATTGATCCCACTCTTATTATAGGATTTCTATATATGTTATTATCAGTCAAAAACTGTTTTTGTTACGCAGTCATAAATGGCATTTAATAAATCTTATATTCATTAATGCTGCAAATAATTCGTAAATGCTATTGTAATATTAATATTTTTAATCGTACAGTTGATGATGCTGTGACTCATTATTGCAACTACAATATAATATATAATACATATGTGTTTTTTACATGACTTATTGTAAATATTTTAATATTTGATTGGATGCATAGAGGAAACTGGAAACTTGATCCTCTTTCTATTAAATATATTTTTAATAATAAAAGAAAAAATAATATTGTTTTTATGCTATATTGTAGATATTTTAATAGTATATCCAACTACAAATTAAAAAGTAATAATAATTTTTAGAATAATTTCTATTTTAGTGAAACAATTAGAATAGGGAATATTAAGTATTCCTTATTCTCAGGGATTTAAGATCATGTGTTCCAGAATTTGAGATCATGTTTTAATTGATTCAAGAGAATCATGTAATTAAAAGTATTCAATCATAATCAATATTTTAATTTTAAATATTAAAGTATTAAACATTTATATTCTATTTTAATTTTTTGAGGTTTATTAGAGTTTTTAACATTTTTTTTTTACTTTGTGTATTTTGACAACATTATCTAAAACAAAAAAATGCATATGTATTTTCTGTTTTAAAGATAAATAAATAACAGGAATATTATGAGAGGATCATGTATCCCCTATACATATAGATGTGGATCGAATGCACTCTAGGAGTAATTTTTTTTTAATTTAAATGCTATTTTTTATAAACAAATAGACTTTACAGATCAACTTCGTGATTACTTTCTTAAAGCAAACAACTTTTTATTCTATTACAGTTTTTAATTGCAATTATAAAACTTAACAACTTAAATAATAATTTAATAAAAAAATGTTAGGCCTTGTATACTATATAGGAGTTATACTTTAAATTAAATAGTAAAATCACACATTCAAAATAAAGTTGAACTTAACTACATATTTATAATAAATATATAATATTTTAAATAGTATGAAAAATATTAACATGTAGACAGACACTTGTATATATGTCTATTGCATCTCTATAATCGCAATTGTATTTCCTCATGAGTATTATTCATTTGTTTTAACAATTATACGATTTAGAAGTCGCAATGATAAAATTGACTGTTTCTCAAATAAGCACACGTAGAAGTTCTCTCTCTCTCTCTCTCTCTCTCTCTCTCTCTCTCTCTCTCTCTCTCTCTCTGTTAGGTTTAAAATTTTATATTACAATTAATATTCAAAATTATACTAATATATATTCATAACATGCTTAATTATGAAAAAATTATAAAATAATCTTCGCAGTTACTAAATAAAATTAATTATAAAATTTAATATTGATATTATACTACAATTATAAACGAATTAATTTGTATATAATAATTTGTATATAGTAATTTAACATTTTACATTTTCATAATATATTATAATATAGTAATATGTTATGTTTCTTTTACTTACTTATCGAAAAGCTCTAAGTATTAAACTAACAAGTGCCGCTGTAGATGCCAATACAGCTAATATCCATACCAAACGAAAAAGTCTGCTGCATGCTGATACAAACAAAAAAACTTATTATACTAAAATAATAAATATATTATTATTAAAAAGAGAGTATTGTACACTACACGTATATAAATTATATATTTTTAAACACAGACACATCAAATGTATGAGTGGATAATTGTTATGATAAATTTATTTTATAATGTAGTTGTAAATATTTCTATTTGAAATATATAGTTATTTATGCTAAGATAATGATTATTTTATAACAATATTGTCTGATCTTTCATAATTAAGTAAATCTTTCTTTGATTACATCTTAAAAAATATAGCGAATTTTAATAGCGCTTTTTTCTAATTTTCTTAATATATTTTGCTTTCTGTCTTTGTTTATGACATTTATTTTAACTTACATTTGTAGTCTCTTGTATTTGTTCTTGTTACTATAGTTCTATTGTAAGTTATTTCCGTTGATTGATTTTGATGTTCCGTTGACTCATATTGATAAGATGATTGAACAGGCATTCTATCCAAATTCTGATAATTCGGCGAATATGGATACGGAAATGGTTCTGACGGAGATGGATGAATTGTTGTATGTGGATATCTTTGGTTTAATTGTGGATTCTGTGTATCTGATGCAAGTGCTCCTGTTGCTTCTGCGTATGAGGGTGGCGCATCGTTTATTGTATAAATATTTGATTTATTCTGCATGTTTATATATTGTGTCACGACGACGTAGTAATTGTCGCAAAATCTTAAAGAAAAAAGAAAAATTAAATTAGATATATATTCTTTCTTAAAGAAAAAAAAATTTGAAAACTCAACGATATGTTTATGATGATTAATTAGTACATTTTACGTTTAGAGGTCAATGTTTAGATTGGAGCTTAAATAATTCTTAATTAGATTAGAAGAAAACTTCTTGAATGAAATTTCAGTGCAGAAATGATTGCTAGAGATAAGAACGTCAATACAAATTATTATTTATAATATTATAGACTTTTCGAGTTTAATTTAGGATTTAATATAATGATATAAGTATAAAAGGTACTCTCTTTAGATGCACCTGGCTGATTTTTTATATTCTTTGTGTTTTTTATTTTAGATTCTTTATTTAATTATAATTTATTGTTCTGTAATATCTTATCTTCTTTTATCTTGGTATTGATTACTTTATATTAGCTGACTTCGAGATATCTCGTATAACTGTGCTAGCTATTGCGATAGGTAGTGAATGACTAACATTATAAGAATAAGGAAAATTTTACATAATTATACCTTATATATTGTTGACTTCTTCGTGACGATGATGACGTCAATGATGTTTTCTAGTATGCCAATTGTAGCCTGCAGCCAAATATATTTGTACCATGTATTGTCTACAAAACGATGCTTATTACAAAAACGTTTAAACAGTTTAATTATAATTTTTTAACTGCTGTTCAACCATGAATCGTTTAGATAAAAGTCAAGTGCTTGGCTTCTATATTATAACAAAGCGATTACATATCAATGTTTAAAAGATAACACTTCATATAACCATTATCAGCAAATATTTATTGTCTTTTTGCGCAATATTAAATGTCATCTAACAAATTTTATATTTACTAATAATTAATAAAAGCTGTTCTAACATCAGTCTTTTTAATTGTATGCAATTTACTATGACTCACTGCAATTCTTATTTTATGTACTGTACGATTTACTGTTAATATTTCAATGTTCAAGTTGGACGCG